ATTCTTGAACATCCTTTTATATTATTAAACTTACAGTACTCACATAGCTGCTTTCAATTCATCTCCATTTATAAGAAATATTTTTTTAATGTGTTTCTTTATCGATTTATAGTTAAGTGTAAATATAAACTTTTTACGTGATATCAAAAACTGATAATTTTTTACCTTATAAATGGAGATGATAAAAAGTTTCAGTAATTTAAGATTCGAGTGTCTTCTTCACACATCTTACTTTAAATGACATCAAGTATTTGTTTAGGTGGTAAAGGATATGAATTTTTAGTACAGGGTATTCAAGCATTGTGTGATAATGATACTGACGATGTAAATACTAAAATAGAAGATTTTAATATTCAAAATGATATGCAAGATGAAGATGTAAATATTCGAGATACTGAAGATGTAAATATTCGAGATACTGAAGATGTAAATATTCGAGATACTGAAGATGTAAATATGTAAATACTATTGCTTTAATATCTATTATTTTTAAAATATCTTATAAATTTGTAGTAATTTGTGATCATGTTGAATTGTTTTTATTACAATCAATTGTAATAAACGTAGAAATTAAATTTTTCAGCTTTTCCTAAAGTATTTAAAAATTCATTATATTCTACTCAAGAGTCTTCAAGAAATAAATTCGACCATTTGTTTATCGAAATGCTGCATCCATTGAAAATAGCATGCCTGAAAAATCTAGTGATATACCAAAATTATTCTTTTAAAGAGTACATTCATCGATTTCAGCATAATGTATATAAAATATGTACGTTTTACCTGTATTAAAATTCAATATTGTATGTATTTTTGATTGTTGTGGTAAGCTCATTTCCGGAATATGTTTTGGATATCCACTTACTATATTAGGGCTAGGATTATCAATCATATAATACATATTATCAATAAAAAATTAAATTTCTCTAGATGGACGTTGATAAATAGCTGTAATTCCTCCAAAATCTGGTGGTAAAAATGATAAACAATCTCAAATGAGTTGTGGATGACTAATTTGATTTGTTTTTAAATGTATGACTTAATAAATTCTTCATATAATATATAAAGTATAATCAAAAAATGTTGAATATTCATAGTATTACATAAAGATGGTATTTTTTGATAATGATGGTGGCACTGTAGGTGATTTATGACCATATAAACTTTGAATTGCTAATATACCATCTGTATGTACATCAAATAACCCGTGATAACAAGCATACATAATTGCATTTCTATTATTTATATGTTTAATACATAATGTATTTCCAATTTGGTGAAGTAAAACAAAACAAATTCTATTTTACTTGTGGTATACTTGCATCTCTATGTTAATTCCAATCTCCATCGAAATCAATATGTATTTCTAACGGAGAATTGTTTGCATTAGGAAATTTTGCATGTGCTAATATAACACCTTTCCCATCAAATTTACTTGAACAAATTTTGATCACGTTGACATTAATGTACTCCACGTACTATATAATTATATCATGATGTAAAATATCTCTATCAAATTTTAAATTTGTATGAGATGACCATGTTTTGAATGCTAATTCAGTTAAATCTTATATTTCCTGATTTACATTACTATAATACCATTTTACTGTATTTCTATTCCATTTTTGTGAATTTGTTTTAAAATAAGTTTCATGTACACCACTTCTCACTATTTAACTTTCCTTTAATGGTAATTTATACTAAATTTAACAATTGCATTGCTACCATCATTTACTGAATTATATCCGTACGGTGCTAATTTTTGTATCGCTAATTCACTAGTAAATACTACCATATGAATAATACACGATGTAAATGAGATGTTAAACCACATTTTTAATAATAATAATAATAATAATAATAATAATAATAATAATAATAATAATAATAGACCATATTTTGTTCAATAAACTAAGCTTTATTCCTGGGCCTTATTTTTCCAATAAATAAGTTTGTTCCAAGACCACATTTTTTCAATAAACATTACTTTACGTTTCTTATATTTGCAATATGATATTCACGATCTTTTACCAATTTATTTTCTTGTACACATTAACATGATATGTAGCTTCATTCAGTTTCGATACATCGTTCATTTCTAATGGGATAAGTATTATCCTTCTAAATGAACGTATTGAAACTGAATCAAGCTACATATCATGTTAATGTGTATAAGAAAATAACCGAATTGGTAAAAAATCGGGTATATCCTATTGCTGATGTTGAAAAGGTAAATGCAAAATATGGAAGGTATAAAATAGCATTGGATCTAAAAACTGGTATACAAGGACAAATATTTATAGTGTAATTTCACCTAATGGATATGCTAATTGTTTAAATGAAAAAGATAAAAGAGCTTTTAAAAACTAAAAAATTAAGATTAATATATAAAGGACTTAGGGAAGAGGATATTATTGAACTACGTTTTTTATATGATTGAGGTAAAATGTGGTTTAGACATTCTTGGATTAAACAAAAAATCAACGCCTCCAAAAATGTAAAAATTAGGATATTTTGTTATATTTTAATCAAAATTTAGGTATTTTAATGCGATTTTTATGCAATTTTAATGAAAAATGGTAATATTCTAGTATTAAAAAAATCGGCATATAAAATTAATCTGGTCCAGTATTCCCCTTCCATATACTACTTTTGTACTTGTCCGATCTTGTATTTTCGCATGAAAAACTTTACTTGGCTTTCTCAAGAGTTCAAAACATTTTTCTAATATTTTTGTGACTTACAATAAAAGCGAAAAGCTAACTGTGAGGAAAGATTTGAATAATTACTTCAAATGTTGTGAAGGAAGTGTGAATTGTTCATGGAAGATATCTCTGTAATACAGAATAATCTTGTATTGAAAATTTGTTTCCAACATCAATTCAATCTTTTTTATTTTCGTTTGATATTCTGTAAGTACGAAGTTACATTCATACATTTTTTAATAGATAAAGACGTTTCACTAACAGCTTTCCTACGTAACGGAAAGGACAGGAAAAGGGTGGGGATTAACATGCGAGCGTTCTCGCACGAGTACGCTAATTATGTACATGTTGATCAATTAGTATTGTTATTTTGCAATGCTATGATGAATTGATTTACCAAAGAAAAAAATTATACTGCATGTTATGTGTCAAGACGTTAAACATCGTCTTCGAAATAATTATAAAAGCCGGCAAGTACGTGTCAGAACAAATATTTTCATTTACATTTAGGATAATGATTCATCAATTACATCTATTACTCCGGAGCTTTCTACTAACGTATCCGTGAGAGAACTCTGTCATATTTTCCGCTTAAATAAGGAAGTCATTTCAATGTCACCGGTTGGCAGGAGATACATTTTTAACCTTTTTTATGAATACGATAAAATAACATGTATGAAAACGTTAAGTTGTACAATGTGGCAATTTATTGAAAATATTGGTAGGATATGTAAAATTCCCAAAAAATAAGACTTGTGAGTCTACAGATATTTTATTTTGTAGTTTAGATTTTTTATTGTTTTAGTTATTAAGTGAGGAATTTTTGAAATCTGTAAATCCCAGTAAGATAAATGTAAACTTTTTTAGTGGGAATATGAGTGAGGTAGACCGGAATTTTCCAAATAGGGGGCAAGAGAAGACAGGGCTACATAGAGGGGGCAGGGCGGAGCTTGGATATAATGAGGTTCAAGTAAAAGACTCCGGTTCAGGACATGAATAAATAGAATTATTCTCCCTCGCTAAATAAATGCGAGAGCAACGCCGTGTACTTCAGCTAGGATAATATACAAGCGAAATGCGCTTCTGTCTAGCTGATTTATAAAATACAATTTCTCCCTTTACTAGCCGCAAGTAAACGTTACTTTTAGGGCGTGCAAAGCGTTCAATATCTAGCACCAGTGCTAACTGATATGATGCTCGAATGGTCCGTTAAAACTGTGAATACAAACAAAATCGTCTGATCGCATCAGCTACTATTAAACTTAAATGTAACAAACTGATTTTTATGCCTGAAATCAAAATAAAATGAGTATGTGGCTGTCTGAAAGATACAGTATGGCACGCCCATTTTGCTCGTGGAATAGCGTCACTCAGCCTATCCGCATCATGTCGCAACCTTTCATACTCGCAAAAGAAAAAGCTGCTTTTACCATTCGTATCATAAATAACTGTTCTGTTTGCTTTGTGTCGGGCACATTTTAATCAACGCACTGTTCGTTACAGGGTCTCATCAACTGGCCGAATCATTCAAGGTTCCTCTTGCCGAAAAAAGAAGAAAAAGGAAGTCTCTCTTTCTGCTTTCCAGAGTATAAAGTTTTCAAGTGAGTGAACGGGATTGATATAATACAACGGTGATAAAAGTTACTATCAGGACCAATGCTTTTGAAACCAAGCCATGAATTCTGAGGTGCAGTCAAAAAGCTATACACATAGTTTGCTATAGTGTAGTTTTGAGACATTTCAGCGTGTTAATATTATTTTATTTAAATTAAGTAAAATTGTACGAAGAAAATCGTCTTCGTCTCTAAATTCAAAAATTTACTGCATTATCTTTTCATGATATATTTCCATACTTTTGGTAAATGAGAAAAGTTTCGATACTAAGACGAGAGTTATGTGAACAAATATCTCTGAAACGCTTTTGTTATATTAATCTGTATTTGAAGTGACTCGGTGTTTATGACAAGTTCCTTTTTAACGCCATAATTTTATTTACATTATAAATACAATTTTGAATTAATTAATTTTTTTTGTAAATCTTTTTACATATTCTTCAGGTGGGGAAAACTGTTTCATTTGAATTTCACATTAAAAACGATTCCATTATCTGTGATATATATCGACTTCAAGGAAGGTGTATTTTCATTTCTTTTTTAATATTTTGAATGAACATCAGTGAACGCATCACTCATTCGACAAATCTGTTATCCAATTTTTTAAATATCTAGTCACGAATAAAGGAATTGTGACATATGATAAAATATCCTCAATAGAGCCAGATTTTAAAAATCAAACACAATGGTGAGCGAGAAAAATATAATTCCTAAAAGAGAAGACGGGAATCCAAATCCCGCTGGAAATACACCTCTTCACATCTTAGTCAAAGAAGCTTTTGAAAATCTGGCTAAGGAAGGACAACTAGATTCCGCGGGGGGTTTGAAAAATGAAAATGCTCACATGTCCGCCCAAGATAACTCACTGAGTGTACCAATGCATGTACAAAATGACATTAAAACTAGTAATGTCACAACTCCTCTTGTAACAAATGACGGACAAAAATTCACATCGTGCCAGACGAAAGCAGATGGTAACTGTTTTTTCCACGCAGTTTTTGGGTTTAAAAATTGCAATGGACAGTACGAAACTACACGTGGGAAAGAAATGAGAAAAGAATGGCACAATTTCTTAAGTCAGTACCACTCGTTGAAAGATGAAAACATGCCTAAGGATCTTAAAGATCAACTCAAGAAAATATTTACAATGTTCTTGAACGATCCTAGTTATTTGACTGGACGATCGGATCTCATTAATAACTTGGTGAATGAGACTAACAAAAAAATTAGACATTCAGATGTTAAAGTAGAAGATCTAAAAACCGATATTGTAAACAAATTTTGTGAGAGCAAAATGTTTAGAAAAGAAATAATGGACGTCATCTGTGGTCTTGATAATAATACTTGAGGCCATAGAAGTTGAATTACTCAGAGACCAAAAACCTTAAAAACACGAATATCTGAATGGTTAGAAGAGTGCGCCTAAAATTGTATCCACATCTTAGCAAATCACAATGTCAAGAAATGTACAATTCTCAACAATCGCTGACTTATTTCTAGAAGACACACACATCTACAAAAAAACTATATAGATGCTATCCTAATCAGGAATATTTTATCTTCTTGAAGAAATTCCCATTTTAGCTTCCTTGGGGAACATTAAAATTACGATATACAGGGACAACGGTAACACTAAAACGTGTTTGTGCCGAATTTTAAACATTCTAGGAAAACTACAAGTCAGACATTTCAACATGGTGCAAGGAAAAAGAAGCACTATTTTCCATGCAGGTATGCACCTTTTCACGAGCAGAAATCGCCTAGCTGATGTTCCCAAAAACATCCAATAGGTACTTTTCCTTATCAGGAGAACAGGAAAGATGTTACGACAAACTACAAAACGTGCGAAAATACCTCAACACTACAGAGAAACAAGAGCCAAGGCAGAAATTCAAGAGGGAAGATATCTTGTTCTCTCCGACATCGACCGTTCTCAAAATCGACACAAATCTGCAGTTGGGGCCGATAATTTCAGGGACTTGTTAACACCTTTAATGAAGACTAGTAGGTTAATGACCAAAAGCAGGCTTCAGGTGGACGCGTTCCCAACGCCTACGAAATGGCTCAATTGTCCCGGAAGGTGTATACGAGAAAAAGCAAAAACGAGAGCGGAACAAAGATTACGAAGCGCGCCTCGCACCTACCGGCTGGCTGGACACTGCTCACCACGGCGACCACACCCATCTCAACAACGGCTACTTCGGAGCGGCGTATGTTCACCCGACCAAGCGGCAAGTAGTGGTCGCCCACCGGGGGACCACATTCGACCACTCGGGAGCGTGGTGGACCAACGTCACCAGCGTCGTCTTCGGAAAACTACTCGGCCCGCATGAGCTCGGCCGCCACGTTCGCCGACAGGGTGATCGCCGCCTTGGACGACGTGCCGGCGACTCGCTCTCCTTCACCGGCACTCGCTGGGCGGGTGGCTAGCCCACGTCACCTGCTTCACCGCCATGTACTTGCGCAGACGCGAGTCGCATTTCGCCAAGAACGCGCCGTCCCAGGCCGTTCACTCCACACGGTAGCCTTCGACAGTCCGCGGGTGCCGGGCCATGCTACTCTCGCTGCAGAAAGACTACGATCTTCGATACGACACCTCCATGAGCCTTGACACACTCGACATCAACCAACTATCTCTCCGCTCCCACCGCGTCAACACCTACAAATTGCCACTTCGGACCTGTACAGGATATTTCCAGACTTCTCAGACATGGCTTTCTTCGACAAACGCACGGCTAAATACACTGAATTCACGCACGCTATTGCACAGGATTGCGAAGCTTTCGAAGAAGGCACGGGAGGTGTCAGGAAAGACAAAGAAGGACAGGCGAAGATTCAGAAGTAGCCGACTGGCCGGTATCGGGTGCGTTCAGAAGAGGAGATGAGTACAAAAGCTTTTTTAAATGGGCTACACATTTCAACGACTATCACCCGGATACAAGAACGAGATATTTTTTCTATCGATTCAAATACCGTATTGCGGTATCAAACGAAAGTTTCGACGCAACGACTTGTTCACTTAGTGTGTTGCTCCAATGAACTACTCTTTTTAGAAAGTTGGCTCAATATGAAACAAGCTAATATCAAATTAGATAAGCTACAAGAGTTCACCGCCACCAACAAATTGGGAAACTACAAAGATCTCCTTCCGGATTTTGTCATTGACAAAAGACCCAAAGGTGCAAAGCTCTGTTTAAAAAAGTTTAATAAATTCCACAAACAAACTGATGCGATGGCTATCACCAGCCGTTACAAAGGCAGTGAAGGAACAACTTGCACTTATTCCATCGGCAGCGAGTCGATGTTGGTTGTTGAGACTAAATCATTTCTTGATACAATGATTACGTGTGACGTAGACTTCGAAGATACAGGTCTACACAATTTTTTGACATCAGACACACTACGGGTATTGTCTATTACAACTCCAGATATAGAAATGAAGTAGCCATGAACGTACAAAGAATGTGAAACGAATTCAGAGAAAACTAAAATCTGAAACTGATGTTCAGAAGGAAAAGACATATATTGAGAATTGTCGTAGAATTGTTCTAAGCTGGCAGCAGAATTCAAGTTTAGAGAAAAATTCTGGATATTTCTAGCATATTATCATCTACCACAGGAAAGTATGATGTATTAATTTTAATATTTCAGCCAAACTTTGAAGCTAACGAATACGATAAAGCCATTTTCGAAAACATTGTTTCAGTTTTCAACAAGATTACACATTGTAGAAAATTATTTTTATTTCTTCAAAACGGAGTTCCATAATTAAATGTATTTCTTCGCCCACCATTCCGGAAACGCTTCAAACAAAGTGACGTCGGTGCCATTTTCTTTATCTGACTTGACACCGATCCCAGAGAATTCTTTTGCATAAACACTCTAATAGAACTTCGGGGCACTTCGTACTCTTTGGCCAAACTCTTCAAACTATCTGATCAAAACTATGAAAATTTACTTCACCATTTAAACAAAATTATCGATTCAGGTATGTTTAAAAAATTAATTGATGGTCACATGGAGTTGATTAGTGTAGAAGAGAGTTTACCGAATCTTACGATGAAAACGTATTTACTCTAAGATTTTCAAAGAGGTATCACTTAAGTGCGCTGTACATTTTATCTTAAACGTCCAGCACTATTATGCGGACGGTGGAAAAACCCATAGCGTTCTTTGTTAGCGGCGTACCCGAAGGAGCGGTAAATGCAGGAGAGCTTATAAAAGACTAAATATCAGTGATACAAGGGACATAAATCAAATAAAAAGCAAAGTAGGTACTTCCATTTTTATCAACACAGATGAAGAAAATAGGAGCTGAGATTCAAGCAATTTTGCCGTGATTCCCACAGATAAGAGGGTGTATTGGTTGGAAAGTAGGAAATGGGCTTGGTACATGGCAACAAGTGTATGACAACGATTTTTACAGTCACCAGAAATTTCAACGATAATATTAATATTTTTAAAAACACAAGGATATATTAGACCATCTCTTAGAAAGACACTCCATCACTGACTTTTTCATTTATTCCAAAACAGTTCCACGGAAAAGCACTTGTTGCATGATGTTTTGGCATCGTCAGAAAGAACAAAAAATATTCTCGAAAATGCAAAAATTTCCTAGGCCAATTGTTCAAGAGGAAGGAGCTTCATTCAAAAATTGAAGAAATGAAAAGGTATGACAAACCATTCATTTGATTCAAAGTAGATGGGACTGGAGAGAAAAAATTAATTTGGCAGGACTTCTCAGGTACTTTTGGACACATACGTGACACATTGCGCAGCTGATGACAAATCAAATCTACTGAAAGCAATTTTCATGAAAAAGCAAATAGGGTGACCAATTTCCTGTGGTGAGCTCTGGAATCGGCAAAATCAACTACTCTATACAGTTATCCAGAATATCAAATCATCCTGGTAATTCACAAGGGACCTCTGAAAAACCATGCTATCAATCATTGATCTCACCAGTCGAAAATTGATACTAATTGATGTTCGTGTCCATTGTTTAATTACATCAACAAAAGCAATGATTTGACTGCAATACTTTTAAAGGAATTGCCTCATCAGAAAGATGCATTCACTGTAATCATTTTCGACGGATTTTGATGAAAATCAAAAATGATCACATGAAAAATAAAATATTCGGGCCTTAACAACAACAAACAAATCAAGGAAAAGGTCATCCCAATTTGTTTGGAAATCTTTACGAATCGCAGAACACACGAGAGCTCACTATGTCTGGATAACTAGGTCGACATTTCAAGCAAGAATATTTTGAGAAAACAAATTCCAATATTTCGGCAAACTACGTTTCAAAACCTAGGAAGAACAACAAATGAAACAGTTCTTGAAAAAATTTCTGGATTTGCTCGTTTAGGAGACGAATTGTGTGAAATGTCAAACAAAGCAAGAAACGACTCTGATATATCTTGAGGAATTATTCGCAGGCGTAAGGTCAATATTAGGAAAAGAAATAACGCGTATGTTTATGGGGGTCCCATTACACATGACGAATGATTGCTCCGAAGTAAGCACACCTATGATAGAGCTGTTTACGGATATCCGCATCAATATGGCGGTCGTCTATGTCAGAACAGATAAACAACATCTTTTGATTTGTATCAAAGCGGTTCATACAAACAAAATACGACTATTATTTTCACGAAAAAGTCGGGACTGGCAGTTGTCTACTGACACCAACAGAAACTGCGTTGTATCAAAGTTCTAAACAAAAAAGGCAAGAATATTTTGGGCCTCCAGTTGCTTTGGTTTCACGGACGACTGCTGAGTGATTTCTGGTATAAAAAACAAGTTCACTTGAACAACACTACATGACTGAAGAGAAATTAGAACTCAATCGAGTAGGTTTGATTCAGTCAACGTGTTCATGTATTAGCAAGTTATTGAATTGTTATCACCGCAGCATTTGCAGAGTTTTTTGTAAGCCGAACTTTTTTATTAACTGGCTGCTCCAAAATCTCAAGGAAGACATCAGAAATATCCAGGCTAGAAGACTTCTTAGTTTTCAAAAATTTTAATTCATCAAGATTATTAAAGTGTTCCGCTTATTTATGAATTATCATTTGATCCTATTCATTAAATATCACATGAAGCGCTTAAATTTTATGCCCATCGTGTCACCAAATTATGGGTTGACCGCAACGATATATTTTTCAACAACAACTTTCAAACAGCTTTGCATTTGTAGCGACAGAAAATTGTGGAGAACTTGTGGATTTTGTACTCTGCCTTTTAGATGCAAAATTTTTGATTGAGTCGTATCTCGTCGTTGATACTACAGCTCTTATTGCGGCTCGAGATAAACGTGGAAAAACAGCACTGTACGTGGCTTCGGCGAACATGTTAATGATCTGTCAATAAGTTCATAGAATACATGAAATCTTGTCCAGAGAGTGTCAAAAAAAAGATTTATTTATCTTTCAATTTACAGAAAAATATGAGGACAAAAATGATCCTCACATCCAGCTATTTACTAGGGTACATTTCAAATCATGGAGAAGCAAGATGAATACCATCGCCGAAAACATTCAAAAGAAGTGGGAGCTGATCCTCCGTTTCTTTCTGCGGCGCAAAAACACGTTGGGGAAGTCCAGAGGCTAGCTAACGACTACCGAGATCAAAACTCACGCTTCTACTTCTTGGCTCTGTGAATACATGGGAAAACTGCGCTTGCATTTGGCCCTGAGCACGGCGGAATGGAAACAGTTGACTACTTGGTCAAAGAGAAAAGTATTGCTAAACTCACTAGATTCAGAAGGCATGACTCCGCTTCATCACGCAGCAAGAGGCGGTTTTCTAACGTGTGCAATTTTTGCACAGAGCAGGGAGCTGACGCTTACAGCAACAGACAACTACAACATGACAGCTCTTGCTTGGAGTTCGAAGGCTAGGAACACTTGAAAATTGTGGAATATTTATTTCAACCGGGAGTTGCGTAAACATAGCTGACCAGAAACGGAATAACTCCCGCACAGCACGCTGCAAAGTCCGGCACCTAGGACGTTCTCAAATACCTGCCAGATCACGGACGAACATGCTATTAGTTTCGACAGATTCGGCATGTGCGCGTTGTCTTGGGCTGCTAGAGCAGGTCACGTGCAAAGTAGTCGATTATCTCGTGCAGCAATCGGTGAAACATGGACTGTCGCGATCGCTATGGGATGAGGCGCGCTCCAGATGCCCATCAAAAGCGAACAAGCTGGGATGTTGGTCACCTATTTGGTGACGCACGGGCCGACACCAATAGTAGCGACTGGACGGTATGACAGCACTGCAGAGGGTGATTAAGGCAGGAAAATGGTCTGTCGCCAAGTATCTCGTACCCAGGTGCTTCCTGGTGTGAGAGAGATTGGAAAGGAACTACCCTTTGTTCCCATTGTTAAGGCCTGCAAGTGGGATTTGGTGATGAATATGGTGGAAAGAGGAGCAAGTATTGCTGATCTAACAATGGAAGAAAAAAGGAAACTTTTGCGTGAAGTAATAGGAAAGACTGAATTCCAAGAAACAGACGCTCACCAATCATTCTACCGGGTTATTCGTCTCGGAAATGTGGAGCTACTTGGGTTATTTATTGACGAAATGAGACTGAACGATATTTCTAAAGCACCTGACCTGGCTCTCACGTTATCGAAATCTTACGATGAGTTAAGGCTGAAAAACGTTCCCGTGACTTCTGAGATGCAGTCTTTTGTAGAAAACAAACTAATTCTCTTACGGTTCTTTAGTGAAAGAAATTCTCACAAAAAGGATTTTTCTCTAGAAGACATAAAACACATTATTAGTATCGTGAGCGATTATGTTTGTAAACTGAATCTCAATAATTCAGGTGACCAAGAAATAAAAATAGATGGAACGTTTATACACACAGCTATTGCAATTGCCAAAAATATCAATGTCCTGAAAAGGTACTTGAGAAGTTCTTACTCAAAATTGCCTTGGGAAGAAATGGAATTTTGCTTGCTAAGCTTCGTGTCAATAATACGCGATCCTCAATCTGGAGATGAAATCTGGAAACTAATTTTAGACAAAAACAAAATTTTAAGTCACCTTGTACTTTTTTCAGAGAAGTTGGAGGAATTAAAAAATAGTCTACAAGTGAAGGACTTATTTGGAAAGGGGAAACTACCAGCTCGAATTAATATTATTAAAAATGTCATTGATGCAGACCCTAGGTTCAAAGGATTATACGATGATTATAACGTTCTCAGAAACATTTATTCTTTAAATAAAATTGATTCGTACATAAAATTGTCAATATCAATTGATTTGGATGAAAATAGAGAATTGGGGAAGTTTGTGATCGAAAGAACTTTGCAAGTATTGGGCGAGCTATTAAAGAACACAGCGGAATCGCCTAATGTTACTGATGATGTGCACACTCGATTGTTGGATACCGCTCCGAGACAGTTGAAAGACATTCTTACAACTCTCCGAGACTCTTTATCTCATGCGGATTCCCTGACCAAAAAAGTTGCTCTTGAAGATGCTAAAGATGTGGAGTTCTTCAAAAATATTCAAAACGATCTGAAAAAAGTCGGTTTGGAAACGACCAACATTTTGCAGAGAAAAAAAATAGATGCGCTTAAAGACTTTTTCAGAAAAATTGAAAATTGCAAGGCAGAAGAAGTTCAAGGTCTCGCCAAAAGGATGGATAATGTAGGCATTGAAAAAATGAATTACGTTGAATTTTATTCCAAAGAACTGGATACACTTACAAGACTGGTCCATGAACTTCAGGCAAAAGCAAATAAAATTCCTGATGGACATAAACATTTGTTACAGAAAATCAATACTATCGTTGAAAAAGAAAGAAATAAATTAGTGCAACTAAATAAAGACTATCGAAAAGCCATGAAAGCTGCCCGCGTTTTTGTACCCGGCACCTTCAATGTGAAAACTGTCAGAAATGTTGCGACTGTGTATCTACATACGTTTAAAGTTGACGAAAATAGCTTAAAAGAACTTCTGCCACTGATGATAGAATTTTCCAGAAAACTTCCAGAAAATGATGTATCTGACAAAATAAGATACATATTTTACAAAATGTACAGCGTAATTGAGTACGAGACAAGTAGAATCCGAGGAATTGATGAAATGAAAGTGCATCTGAGCAAAGAGGAAGAATGTGAAAGTATTGACATAGAGGAGAGACTAAGGGAAACATTTAATAAAATTGAAAACAAGTTGACTTCGGAAGAAGACAAGAAAAAATTCAGAGAAGAATTAAAATCCAAACTCAATACTCACAACTCCAAAAATAAACTTATACATTATTTTGAAAATGACAGTGAAAAAATGGAGGAAGGCATCTTCACAAAATTAAGTGATAATCTAAAATTGAAGCCGAGAATTAAGAAAGATTTGAAGGAATCATACGACAAAGGAGATTTTAAAACATGTCTGTCATTAACAAAAAAGATTGACGATAAGTACTCTGACTTGTTAAAAGCAGTTGCAGATTTGAGTTTCTTTGCCTCAGAAAAGTATATGAATGCGTTGAAAACATTCTTTGCGGTCGACAAGAAATTCAAAACCGTTGTAGATAGCGCTATAGACAAAATTGGTCAAGAAGATTTGAAAGTCATATCCTTTTTCAAACAAAGAATGTCTGTTATGGAGCGGTTACTAAAACTGAATGAATTAGAAAAGGAAAGAGAAGTAGCACTGGAAATTTTGCTTTTGGAACTGACTGAAATCTTAGAGCATGCATCACTTCTTACTGACAACAAGTTATTTATTTTCAGTTACTCACCTGTTTTAGTGGGGAAGTCATTTCGCAACTATCTTGCTCATGGTAATTATCTTGCCGATATTTTGTCTTGCAGTCCATCAGTTTCAAAACAGACACATGCCCGACAAATAATTCAAAACGGAGAAGAATTATTATTGAGAAAAGATCGCGCAATAGGCCAACAAATAACGATCGATTTGCTTGAACTTAAAGAACGTTACGATCAACAATTAAAGGTCATTGCTACCCAAGAGAAAATGTTTCGTGCAGCCAGCAAAGGAGATCTAAGTGAAGTTAAGAAATGTATTGAAGACGGAGGTGACACGAAAGCTAAAGATTTGAATGGCAAAACTGGTATTGAGTTGGCTACAATTGCTGACAGCGTAGAAACTTTCAAATTCTTTATTGACGAAAATTTAACTTTGGATATTAAGAAAATTCTATCTATTGCCGCATCTAATGGTAGTATCAACATCATTAAATATCTTTGCAAAGATTACCTACTTAATGTCAACAGTACACATTTTAAGAGAGAATATCTCGTGCATCTCCTGGCTTCGAAGGGTCACAAAAATGTTCTGGAGTTTTTTATTTGTCACGGAGCAAATGTGTGCATACTTGACGAGGATAATCTGTCACCGTTACATTTAGCAGCCAGAAATGGCCACAAAGAAATCGTGCAAATATTGTTAGAGAAAGGAAAGGACGTTAATGGGGGAGGAGGTAGACGAGAATACCCAATTATATATGCCATTATGGAAGGTCACGACGAGATAGTGAAGCTATTGTTAGCGAACGGTGCTGATGTCAATAAAAGAATGCAATTGGTTCGCAATTGGACACCGTTGCATTTTGCCTCCTTTTTCGGCCATGATAACGTTGTAAGAGAGTTATTGGAGAGAGGAGCTCAAGTCAACGCTGTTGATGACGACAAAAACACGCCTTTGTATTGGGCATTAGTGGAAGGGCACAACGAGGTCGCTTTATTGTTACTGAACGGCGGGGCCACATTCCAATTCAAAGACGAGTCAGATGAAACTTTCTTACATATCGCAGCACAAAACGGACTCGACGATGTTGTAGTCGCATTAATAAAGAAAGGAATGAATGTAAATTGCAAGACTACTAAGAATTGGACACCACTACATTTTGCCGTCAAAGGAGGGCATGGGACTGTTGTTGAAACATTACTTTCACACGGAGCAGATATTGAAGAAAAAATCTCAGAAAAAGACTGGTCAGTTCTGCATTTGGCTGTTGAGGGCGGGCACCACTCCATTGTTAATACATTGCTGCTTCATAACGCCAACGTGCATTCTCGCTCAGCAGGTAGCTGGACGCCTCTTCACGTAGCTTCTATGCACGGTCAAGAAGCGATCGCTAGAGATTTGATTCTTCGGGATGCGGAGGTGGATGCAAGAAACCATCAACAAAGAACACCGCTGCATTACGCGTGTCAACTAGGTCATAACAACGTTGCCCGGTTGTTGCTAGACGCGGGAGCTGATGTGAACGCTTTGGCCAAAGATGACGTATCACCTCTTCACGTCGCCGCAATGAACAGGCGGGATGACGTGGTGTTGGAACTGATTGAAAGGGGAGCCAAGATTGACGCTGATATGTCAATCGGTGTCACACCCCTCTACGTTGCTACCGGCCTCGGCAGTGATGAATCCGTGAAGACATTGCTAACGTTCGGCGCCAACGTCAACTACAGAGACAATTCACTAAGGACTCCTTTGCACGTAGCAGCCGAAAAAGGTCACAAGAAAGTAGCGGAAACATTGCTAAAAGCCGGCGCTGAGTTGAACGCTTTGGACGTCGAGAATGAGACACCACTTCACGAAGCTGTCAGACACGGCTACAAGGACGTAGTCGAGCTGTTGCTCTCCAAACCTGAAATTGAGGTAAACGCTGCATCTCAATCAAATGAGACGGCGTTGCTCTTAGCCGCTATGAATGGCTACAACGACATCGCTAACTTACTCCTACATAAGAACGCAGATGTTCACGGATGGCGTGAAACACCGCTGTATCTGGCGTCTTTAAACGGCCAGAAGGAAATCGTGATTCAGTTGCTCAAACACGGAGCTCAGGTCGACAGATCGAACGTGCGGTATTCCACTCCTCTACTCGCCGCGGTCGAAAACAATCGGCGGGAGCTCATTGCTGTGCTGGTCGAAAACCACGCTGACGTGAACGCCACGCGCGAAGATGGCTCGACCCCTCTTCTCCTATCGACTGTCTTGGGTTTCGAGCAACTCGCATGCGACTTGATCAGGAGCGGAGCGGACGTCAACGCGAAGGGGCCCGAGAACGCCACACCTTTGCTCCTCGCCGCACGCGCCGGTCGCGTGCAACTCGCACGCGAGCTGCTGTCGCACGGAGCGGACGCATCGGCGAGAACGCAGGAAAACTTCACGGCGGCGGAAATCGCCGCCATCAAGGGTCACGAGGACGTGGTCGCGTTGCTTCTAGAGCATCAAACGGACGCGAGCGCCAGGCAATCGGAGGCGGAAATGTTGATGCGACTGGCCGTCAGATTCGGTCAGGCGGCTGTCGTGCGGAGGTTGTTGGCCATGGGCGTGGACGTTAACACAGCGGGCGCGGATATGAACACAGCTCTACACCTCGCTGCCCTACACAGTCGCACCACCGTTGCCTCCGCGCTGTTAGAAAACGGCGCCAATGTCGACGCGAAGGACCAGAACAACTGGAGTCCTTTGCATCTGGCGGCAAACGACGGCAACCAGGAGATAGCAGAACTTCTCCTTCAATACGGAGCAGATCCCAACGTCAAGAACCGACGACCTTCTACCGGCACAAATGTTGCTAAGGGTCCGTACGGAGCTTCCGCGTTGCACTTTGCGGCGTATAAGGGCCACGGACCGGTCCTTGAGGTACTCTTGCAACACGAGGCGAACGTGAATCTCACGGACGACACCAACTGTACCGCTCTGCACCTTGCGGCGAGCAACGGTCACAACCCTGCAGTGAAACTGTTGCTCGCATACAATGCTGACATTTCCGCGAAAGAGGACAGCGGCTTGACGGCGCTGCATCTGTCCGCTTTCTACGGACACGCGGACGTTGCAGGGACTCTGTTGGCCAAAGGCGCCGACGCTAACAACAGAAGCTTCGAATTCCGCACACCTGTGCATCTGGCCGCGTACAGCGGCAACACCGTCATCCTGGAGCATCTGTTCCGGAATCAAAATCCTGACGTGAACCCCAAGGACAAGGATTACTGGACGCCATTGCATTTTGCGGCATTCCACGGGCACGGTGAAGCCGTGGCGTGGTTGATCAAACGCGGGGCGGAGGTGAACGCCAAAGAACGTGACAGCGCCACTCCGTTGTTGTTGGCGGTGAGCAACGGGCACGAACACGTCGCGGTGACGTTGCTGGAAGGCGGGGCTGACGCTAGCGCCGCAGACAGTGACGGCTATTCCCCCTTGTTTGCGGCGTTGGAGAAGGCGCTCGTTGGAACAGTGCAGATCTTGATTGATCACGGAGCCAATGTTAGAGTAGTAGACCGATCGGGCAGAACGCCTTTAGATATTGCAATGAGAAAGTCCGACAGTGATGAACGGTACGAGTTAATTGCTGCCATTCTTATGAGTGTAAGTGAATGAAAAACTTCATGAGAAGTGTAATGGATATTTACGACGTTGGTATCGTTTGGTAAGTCATGTTATTACGTACGTCATGTTATTACGAGTTTGGAGAGCGATGCCGTTAGGCCCTGTGGAGGATTATGTTGAGATGTTCCAATGTCACGTATTATCTACTGTCAAAATTCAAATGTGCGAGTACTGTAATTTTTGTTTAAATTGTCTTTTTATTCTGCTAATGTGGCAGATGCTGACAAGAGTTACTTAATTTATTTTGCACATATTTACATTACTTTTCCTACATTCTTGCATAAAATTTAGAATGACATGATGTATTAGAATATTTGTAATCCACTAACATTACAAAATCGATCTCAGTATTGTAAAGTTTGAGTTAAGATTGTTAAATAAAATGTTATGATCCAAATGTTTCAAATCATTAGGCTCTCCGACCGGGGATCTATCTCTTGTTTTCTGTTCACGCTTACTTTCTTTGATCACTAAGCTCCCAAGACGCCGAATGCTTTCTTAGGCGTGCTTCTCGTATAGCCCACGATTTTTGGAGGTGCGCCGAAGACTTTTCTCAGAGTGAGGAGGAGCTACAAATACGTATTGATGTTTTCTTACAAATAATTCTTCAATTGCTCCACTCTTATTCGCTCTACAATAGACTAATTCATCATCGGAGAATTGGAATATAAAATCGAATTAAACACTATTTTCCAAAATTTTGTAATGTATTACATTCGAATTCTCGGATTACTCACGTTACGCCTTTGAGATGATTCCTCTGTTTTATCATCCTACACAATATAACTATCAATAACGTTCTCGTTTCATTCTTACGATAATCTCGTTTTCTAATACCTTGAATTCAGTCGGTTACCTACCCTTGTTCTCAGTATATCAACAGTTTGAAAAAATTATCCAGATAGAAATGTCACTTCGTAAAATTTCAATTTTCCATGAAGAATGAGAGTAAAAAAAATGCCGAACACTGGCACGTAGTGTGGTCAAATTTACGTTGCCCATGGGTACTTTAAAATAAAACTGTGATGAATACCACACGCCTATTAGTATCACATACGAACAATATTTGATGTGTGACTTACACATACTAAATATTTAGGTATGTGTTGTAATTTGAACGTGACAGTCATTCATGTAGTACATAACTTGTTTGAATACTTTTCTTTCCTACTTTTTATGAATTAATCTTTATCTTTAATTATTTTGTTGGGCATTTCTCGTATTCCTGGCTTGGCTTAAATGCAATGGGTGAATTGAAAGGAACTTTGTGAATACATAATATCTGACTGAGTGGACTAACATGTTGAACTACATATTTTGCCTTCAATACCGAGATGAACTCGCAACCGCCGGTATCTAAACGTCCGTGTTGTTATATCCGAGCTCGAGTCATGAAAAATAGTGCAAAGATATTGTAATGGCAGAAGTGACCTTAACGTCTGTGCATTCTACGTTAAAATATGAGGAAATAAAGCGAACTTTGATAAAAAATGAAGAACGATATTTTTCTGTGCACCATTCTCAATACTACATCAATGTAGTCAATTTTGGCGTAAAAAGAATACAACTGCTTGTGTTTTAATGTTCAATGAAAAGGTTATGAAAAATACTAAAACAAAGAAATTGAAAATAGTCATTATGAATTTAGAATTATTGATATTTCATCATGCAAAGAATGCTGCATAATGCAGAAATAATGTGTGTTACAGTTGTTTTATACTTTGTATTGTTTACACAGACCTTTCAAATGCTGATTATTCAGAATTTGCCTTGTGCCAAAGTGTTTTTGTGTAAAAGTAATGATACTTTTTATTGCAGTTTGCAGTTTAACATTATTCCCTTCAGTCCTATTGATACAGTATTTAACAGAATATTGACCAGGTTATCAATATTGGTAAAATAATTTTCAATTTTGTACAAATAAATAATTGAATATTTGAAGCCAACTTTTGTTTTATTTAATGAAATCAATCCTTTATCAACTCCAATAAATATCAATAATTTATTTTAAAAAATTAATGTTTTTGTATTTGTTCCCGAATAACTCTAGAACGTGAGATGCAATTTCAACCATAATTTTCACGAATATATAATTACGAAGAATCGAAATATCGTTGGTAATCTTTTTGTGTAACGACTTATCTTTTTAATGTTTAAATTATCCGAAAAGAGTAAATAACGTCAGAATAAGGAAAAGCTCTGAAGCATACTTCGAATTGCAGATGAATTTTGTGCATATTAGCCTATGGGAAGGTAGGTGAAGTTGGTGACATGAAACTAGCTGATAATATTATGTAATGCACGGGGCCAAGTGGGAAGTTCCTAAGACTAGTGAGAAACAAGGTGTGTAGATTATTATTAAATGTATTTATTGATTTGTATAATCCTATAAATTGTTAAATATCAATGATATGTAATGTAATGAAATGTGTAAATATTAATGTAATGTAAAGTTAAAAATGAGATTTTTGATCGCTTACGACCAGACTGTTGCATAGCGATCTAAAATAAATTAAATAATAAAAAAGGTTGTGTAGTTGCAAATTCCACTGTGCGAGTCGTTCACCTCTATTGATGCAACACCATCTAATATAACTATATATTATGTAAATCAGAACCAAATGCATTACCGACTTGGTGACGGAACTACGGCATTACCGATTTATATTAAAAGAACCTTGGCCTGTAAATTTTCTTTCTTTTTTCGCAATATTGAACTTATACAATTGACTTAAACACAAGAATGAAAAGTCACTGTTAAGAGCTGACGTCACTTACGGCTTTTATCGATCACATGCGTTTTTAAAAGCTATTATCATGCAACCCGACAGGTTTGTTTGGTGCACTTGTAGCTACCTCTACATGAAGATATTTAACATCATCAGAAACGGGTTTTTATGTCCTAATAATGTTCCACAGCAATAGAATTAATTTGTTCACTATCGCAGTAATGTAAATTTCCGCATAAATTGTGATATTTTATGGTGAGTGATGAAATGCAGATCATATCACAGAATGTTAGTGTTATTACTACGAATGTTAATAGCTATAACAGTCCGCCGTCCGTTGAGAACAATCCAAACAAGTTGCTGATATACAGTCGTACGAGTAGGCTTATTCCCAAAATATGGTATTTCTTGTGATTACGATTTTTCGTTATAAGATGGTACTTCGAAAATATCAAACGACCCACAACCATGCACTTTACGATCCAATAGAGGACACGGTTGGTAATTTACTGTTTATCAGCCTAAAGCAGTTAACTTTGCTTCCTCGAAAATAACATAGCAGGTTTCGGAGAACATTCGAATACATACTCAAGGTGAAAAGGTCAACAATCTTCGATGAAATTCGAATAAAAAGCGAAAGCTTGTTAGTCAAAACTGAAAGTCCCTTGTCGCCCACAAGTCGGGCGAGAACATTGCACGTCTGGCGTGCCCGCCCTGTCAGAGTCAACTCCTCCTTAATGTTAAAATATATTCAATTAAGATTTTTTTTTAAATTTCTAGTGACGTCACAAGTTCAAAATTACCCCAATGTATTTTCCTTCGTTATGCATGGGACGGCCTCATATCCCACATGGTTCCATTCCCCCTCTCCCCGTTTCAGAGCTGCCGGACGAACTGCCGAGATCAAGAATATGGAGAAGGCACTGTACGGTAAGTATGGCCCACAACCATATTAAAGATTTAAATTGGGGCCCTTGAGGCCAAACAAACTGTGGCTGTACACTGTCAACATAAGAATTACATAAAACAATATACATGGAATAATGAATATCCATTACCGCGTACCTAGAGGGACAACTAAAACACAATATAAATCACAAACAACGTATTAAATGTTTGACGGGGACACACAGTGATTGTGGAATTTGAAAAAATTTCTAAACTCGGTTATAGCATTGATCATTTTGCAACAAAGCACTTGTACTCACAAATGCAAACATTTTAAAAACCAGTATTGTAAATATTAACGTGAAAAATATTTCAAAAAGTTTAATTTGTTTAATGATTGAAAAATCAAAAGAATACATCACACAAAATGGCTTTTATGTCATGCTATTGAGTGCATTTGGGTGTAGTTGATATTTTCTGTGCCTAGCTTGATTCGAGTTTCTTTGCCGATTGTCATAACATTTGTTTTGCTTAAATTCATTTGAAGACCTACATTATTGCACTGCATTGCACTTCTAATTCTTGCAACATGATTTCTAATTCTTTTGCTGATTGCAAAAACACTATTGTATCTGCGAATCTTAAATTTGACGATTTCTGTCCGTTCAAAAGTATTCCTTCATTTTTCCAATACAACTGTCGAAGTATCTCCTGTAGAAGACATACGTGTACTTAGTAGGTCAAACGCTATTTACGCTTTCTGTGTACACCATTGTTTGCAAAAACTGACAAAGTTTATTTGTATAATTATTAATTCAAGATTCGTTGTTTTGAAATATTTTTTTAAAATGATCAATGATAGTAAGATATATATTGAAAATTTGTTTGTAGAATGCACCTATTATCTAAAGATATTAATAATTATTTGTAGTGTATATATATATATATATATATATATATATATATATATATATATATATATTCTTCAAGATCTCTTATCACCTTCACCTTTTTAAAGAACCACTTTCACGTGTCATTCTTATAAGAATATTTCATAAATAATTGGAGGCTATGAATATTATATAAAAAAATGAGTTGAAATTTCAGACTCACATGAAATATTGCATACATTTTATTCAGGTGAATTATAAATTAAAATTATTATTTGATGCAATTTCTTTCAAAGCTCTTATTAAATGAAATTATATTTTTGTAAAGTAATTGTAATAATTTTTCATCTGGTTCAGTTAGAAAGTTTGAATTAAAAATATATCATGAAATAATTATCATAAACAAAGAACAAATTGAAAAATAGGTATGTCATAGATTAATTCAAAACTTTTGTCATTAATAGCTTGTAGAAGTGTTTCATTAATATTGTATTCACTTATATTTATTAGACACTGAAGATGAAGGCCAATGACCTCCGAAACATAGGTCTAAAAATTGTATATATTTAATAAAAATATATGTTAATCAATGTCTTCTTAAAACATTGGAGTACCTTCAAACCAATTTAAAAATAATTCGAGAATCGCTCTCGTAGCAACAACCAAAAGTACTATTAATAGTTTCTTGATACCGATCTCTACAAGTGCTGTGTACCTAATTGTGGAGTAATGTGTGTGTGTATAGTTAAGAGTGAAGATGTGTCTTATTAGATTTGGTTTGTGTTTTGCTACCGTACTTTTCGTTATCTGCAGTGATTCGGAGTAGCTTTCAAGACAGCGTGTTCAGCACATAGCTTTTTCTAGAGTAAAGAAGCTTTTTTAATACGTATTTTGTAAATATCACGACAAGCGAAAAGCTAACTGTCAAAGAGTATTGAATAGTTGCTTCAATTTTTTAAGAAAGTGTTGTGAATTGTTCCAAGAAATCTCTCAATAATACTGAATAAATCTTTACTGACAATTTCTTTTCAACATCAACTGCATTGTTTTTAATTTTTATTTGAAACTGTGTTAGTACATTGGAAGTTATCTTTATACATTTTTAAACAAATAAATACATGTCGTTAACAACTTTCCCTTTAAGAATAAAAATAGAAGGATAGGGAAGTGTGTGTGGTTTAACTTGCAAGAGTTCTCACACAGGTATGCAGAGGTAATAGGGGAAAACATGTGCTATGGCACAACACAACGAACTTTTTTTTTTTAAATTAAAGTACAATAGCTTGAAATAAGTGAACAAGAAAAGTCAAAAACCTCTAGCCTACACTACCACAGGAATCATTTAAAAATTCAACCAAATTTGAAATTATAAAAAAAATAGCGCAAGTCACTCGACAACTACCAACGATCACAATCCAGACGGACGATTTAAATAGTGGTATCTGGTAGTCTGTACATCAATGCCCATCTGTAAACTCATATTGTTAATAATACACCGTTTGTTATTAAACTTAAGGTGTCGGTTCGATAAGATATTTAATACGTAAACATCGTTTGAACAACATTCCCAAGTGCCAAAGTTCTAAGCCTACTGAATTGTTTCTAATTGTAACAAATGGTACTTATTCAAAGGTAAAAATATTAGTTTCATTACTTTTTGGTTCGGAATTGCTTTTTCTGAGGTAGTAAGAACGTAGAAAATAATCCAATACTTTTTAGTATTCAAATAATTGCTCAATTTTCGCACCCCATCAAGCTGGCGTTGCACCTCCAAAACCTCCTTTGTTCCTCATAACTAATGTTAAATTATGTTGCAAAGAATAGGGTTGTACGTGTCCGACCCTATGTTTTCTCCTGGAAAACGTTACTTGGCCCTCTCAAGACTTAAAACATTTTCTAATATTTTTGTAACTATCAAGGAAAGCAAAAAGCTAACTGTCAAGGAAGATTGAAAAATTACTTTAAAAAATGTTGTTTTTAAGCAAGTGTGAATTGTTTTTGAAGAACATATCTCTGTAATGCAGATAAGTAGCATACAAGAGTCTTCGCTAAAGAGACCAAGAATACAGCACCAACATATGTCCTCTGCCTGCAACCTGTCTCAAAATAACCAGCTCCCTTCCCCCGACACTTAGCCAATTTATAACATTCCAACAGGCAACACATTTTCACAACTTGTATCAAATCCCGATGGAGCCGAAACAGTTTCCAGTGATCCATCCCGTTCATAAGAATTAAAAATATCCCCAATACTTATCCACGATTCACTAGTGCATGCACAACTAACAGAAAAAGTAAAAATCTCAAACATTCAAATTTCAACACAAGAGTCGGAGTATACAGAAATTATGGTCAACACAATCGATTACACCTCATTACGAAAATCCCTATCAACAAATGGACTATATTACCATAAATATCGAGATCCAACAAAATCAACTATTTCAGTAGTATTAAGAAATGTACCAGTCTCATACACAAATATCTCTATAAAAAATGTCTCTATAATACCGAATAAACCATTATTGAAGATTTATTTCCAACATCAATTTTATTGTTTTTATTTTCGATTGATATTCGTAAGTATGAGGTTACATTCATACATTGTTTTAAGCACGTAAACACATATTTCATTACCAACTTTCCTTCTTAATGTAAAAGGTAGGGAAAGGGTGGAGATTAAAATGCGAGAGTTCTTGTACGGGTACTTTAGTGTTTAAGTATAATCTTACAAAAAATTAAAAGAAACTAGTGGTCTTACAGAATGGCACATAGTTTCTTGTACTAGTTAGTTTTCTAATTTCTTTGGTCTGGTCGAGCTTTGCTGTTTTGTCTTACATTTTTGCCACCTGCTATGTGCCCAAAGCACTTTTTTTCTCAATTTTTCGGTCTACTAATAGTAGAAACGAAATATCACTGTAGGAATGTTAAAAAAGAGTAAAATCTCGCCCTAATTGACAATTTTCATTGAAAAATTTGGAGCCACTTTTAACAAAATTGCCTTTAAGCGTTACTGTAAATATGAAATGTGGAAACTCTGTTTCCATATGCGGATCCACGGGGAGGGAAATGAGGGAAATTTTCCCCCTAAAATTTTTCAGTTACTATTATTTTTAACTTTAAGTCACGAAACTAACAGGCAAAAATATTTTCGGATAATTATTACAATGAATAAAATCGTATCGCAGCAAGAGTTGAGTGTAACCTGCGGCATTTTCCAAAATCTGTACTATGACATTCGACCAAAACATTTTGAATTTCTCCTCCCAAAATTTGTCTCTGAATCCGCCCCAGCTTTTTCACAGAAAAGTTTTGAGTTTTCGAAAAACTTCATTAGAAGTCATTTTAAACACTTCCAGTCACAAATGCAAAAATGTACAGAAATTTCTGGAAATGTGCAACTAATGCAGTAAATGCATTATTAAAACGTTAAATATTTTATTTACTTTGTATTCACTCAACCAAATCATTAAGATAGCTGTAATTTGACATTCATACTTTAAGTTAAAATAGTTAATTAAAATGAAGAGTTACACTGTAACATAATTTTTATTTTAATTCGTAAGAATGGAGAAAAAATAAAAAAAAAATGATTTCTTTCATCTTTCAAGCTGTGTCGGACCATTAGATGGCTTCAATTAATTATGGTTACGACAGTTGTAGTAGTAAATATGTGCATTGACGGACAACAATGGACGTCGACCCGCTCGTTGAAGAAATAAGTTTAGAACAAGGAAATGATAATATTAATAAATTGCAATATGATCAGGAAAACTAGTGTAATATAATTAAAAGATGCGATATATATTCGTGATTGTTGTTAAAATCATTAAAAAAATCTTACGAAAAAGTCAGAGACCAAAGAGAAAACATATCGGATATCGTTTGGCGTTCGGCCAATCAGAAAAACCTGACGCGCAGCTCGTGGAGAAAAGCCGGGTTTCGAACAATACTGAGCATCGGAAAACAATTGAACAGCGAAATATAAATTGTTTCAGAAAGAAGAAGTGTTGAATATAGCAGAAGTTACAATAATTTTCACGATAATAAATATCCCTTACGTAAGATTTGCGCGTCGAGATTCCGCACTTGTGGGCTGTCGGCCCACAAAGAAATAGATTATTTTTCTGCGGACAAGATTAACGATTATTATTATTATTATTATTATTATTATTATTATTATTATTATTATTATTATTAATAATAATAATATTATTAATATTATTATTATTATTTAATATTCATTAAATAAAATAAATCCTCACTCCTTCGAGTGCATATGAAACTGCTTATTTGTAATGTTGTAATGTATGAGTTACAGACTTCTGATCAAATGTAAAACAGAAATAAATATAACAAAATATGAATGAAAGAAAAGGCTAAGAGTTAACAATACTGTACATTTTCTTTATAAAACTTAAATTTCTTCTCAGAAGAGGAAAATTCAAATAACTTTAAATTCTCCAATATATTCGTAGTAAATTGTGTAACACAATCGTAAGATGTATTTCACATGTTGCGTTTCATCCGTAGCTTTCAAACAACCCGCCGAAAGGACGTCGCGACGTAGTTCGCCTTTTGCCCGCAGCGGGCACTAGCAACCGAACATCTGGAGTAAGGTCGCCGTATTCACCGTGAGAGCGCAGCACTGCAGGGCAACTGGTACAGCTCCGTGAAATGCCTTAATAAGTGTCGTTTTTTAATGGATACAATTGTATGTAACAAACTACACTGTAATTATCCAGTAGACTTCAAATCTATTGTTTGTGAATCAATGTTTCCATGCAATTAAGGTTCATTTTCAAGATGATATAGTATAACGTTGCATTTGCATGGTTTACAAGCAGAAAATAAGGATGATCGAGTGGCGTCGCCTATGGAACGGAGACTGCTGGAGCTACACAGTTTTGGGCCTGGGGCAATGCTGAAATGTAGCCCCCCACCCGAAATAATGAAACTGAAAATTATATGAAGAAACTATACGAGTTACTATATTTCAATGAATAACAAAAATTAAGTTTAAGCTAGAAAAAGGTTACGTAAATATATTTTAAATAGTAGTTTTAAGAAAAATTATTTAGTGATCAAATAATATGACACAATTTCCACGGTGATCTAAACGCTAAAAAAAATTGTATTTAGTTCATGTTTAATAAAATCACTTGTTAAACACAGTCAATAATAATTTAATTTCAGTAGCACGTATTTTAATCTTAGGGTCATTTGAGTCATTTAATAGTGTCCTACTTTGTACGTAATGACTATAATTATCTATTCAAGGGAAGAAATTGAAAATTTTATGAAATATCAGACTACTACACCGACATACCGAGACATATAAAATTATGTTAACGATTTTTTCGAGTTATTAATTATTTTTCAATTTTTTACTATTTTTCCCTATCAGTCCCATTATCAAGACCCTATCTTTCGGGGGCCAGGGCTATCGAACAGTCCGTCCCTGCCTCGCGCCGGCTCTGAGCGGAGCAGAGTGAAACTTTTAATTATAAATTTCAAATTTTATATAAATATTCACAGCGAATTGTAGGTTTGTTGTTCATGTCTTCTGCAAAAAAATTTTTCGGAAGTGTAAAAGTACATTTGTTATATTCTTCGACCCCAAAAACTATTTCGGGAACTTTGCATGTATTATAATTCTAGAAATCAATTCTATCAATCAAAAGAAGTCCTTTATTCAGTAATACAGTAACCTGCGATCATTGGCCCGTCCATCCGCCAGTCACGGCTACACCATTTTTGGTCTTCCAATGGAGATACACGAGGTGTTATTCGACGCATCTAGATCTCCTGAGAGTAAACTGACTTTTTGGGGGCAGGGGGATCCAGGCAGAAAAATTTAAAAACGTTCTCTAAAAAGCTTGTGTTTTTTGTTGTTGTTTTAAGCATCAAAAACGGGTTTAGGGTCACTTGCGGCATATACAAAAGTGATCCAATTGTTCATTCGGTTCAAATAGTGCAAATGTACAAAAGAAATATAATTCTTAATATTGGAGCATTCGTTAAGAACGTAGAATGGCTTTAATGCAAAATATAACATTCAATATGCATGCTATATAACCTGTATTGTTTAACCCAATAAAAATAAGTGAAATAAAAGCTTTACGAGATGTAATCGCGAACAGCAATAACGTGTAAATTGGTGCAACGAAAAAAAAAAACTTCAACTGTGTAAGTAAGGCGACATCGATTTATTGCTAACCGCACACGTTGGTCCCTTTTTATATTTCATTATTAATACCGACGAATAATATTAAGGATCTTGCTTCAGATTGAGGATGGAAGTAAAGTTTTTCCTCCATTCTGATGTATAATAATCTATTTGTAGTGAGATTAGGTAACAAATTTCGATTTATTGTGTTATTTTCATAACTTGTTTAAGTCCCTCTGATCTCTAAAACAATATTTAATTTCCGGCATTAGACCCTTCTAACACAAATTCTATTCATTCTTCGAACATCAATATGAACAATGAAAGATCTTCAATAATGGACGTAACTGAGTGACATTGAATATTATGTATCTGTAAATGCAACTTTCAAAAATTATTTTTTAAATCACAATCACGATTTTTTCAATATTCCCGTGATTAAATGACAACAAAAGCTCTACAGAAGTTCCGCAATATCTACCTCAACAATGTTAGCTAGGCCGAGTTCAGTCAGTCTGAAGGAGAATTCTAGCAGCCGGCTGCTCTGATCGTTAGTTTTCCGTGGTTTCTCCGATAAACCCCAGGCGAATGCCGGAGCAGTACCTTAACAAACGGGTTACACACCGCGCGCGATCTTTCCTACCTCTTCCTTGTCCTATTCTCATCCTTCACACACACACTAACAAGCACTACACTACCACACATGCCGGGAGACCCGTCAGGAACTAAGAGCTTGTTCTGGCTGGGGCGGTGCCCCACTGGTGGGAGATATCTTGTTGGGGAAAACCCCGCTAGTCGACGGTAGGTCGGCGCGGGATATCGCCACACAGTGGGGAGAAGATCACCGCCACCTCCCGAGCAAAAGACACGCACGGCAACCACAGCAGTTGTCGCGCCCGGAATCACCAATCAATAAAAAATCGTTGAGTGACGCACCAGAAGGTATTTAAATTGATGTCGGTTTGCAAACAAGGAGCTCACTCCGATCTTTTTTTAACGCATCTTGCATTTTGCGGAATAATATAATAATGTCATATTTGGGCGAGAATGAAGATTCACGAGATATGCACAAAGAGCATTACGAAAGCTGACTGAATTTGCAAGAATTCTGAACGCATTGTCTAATGAACTTAATTTTGTGGTCAATTAATAAAATGGATATTCTATTTCTGGTTTGAATGAATTGAGAGACCCATAAATGTTATCTTAACATCAATTGCGATTGATTCAGTTGCGATTGTCTTTGACTACTTTCTCACTAATTATATTCATCTCTCGCCTTATTTAATTGATACTTCAAGTTATATTTCGTCCATTGAGCCGTGATATAAAACAATTGAAGGTCTAAACTGTAAGGATCGAAAGTAATAAGAAGTTCCAGTGCATCGGACTGCTACTGTCGTATGGATGTTCCCTTATTTCAAACATTAGACACGCCGTGCGTCATGTCAGCGAGTGTTCCAGTAGCTTCGCAAACTTCCGATTATCTTCAACCTCCTAATATTGAAGTTGATACTTCAATTCATTCAGACGAAATACAAATGCAACAACGAACATTATATTCAGATAATTCAACATTTCTTTGTTTGAATTACTAAGGAGAATCCAACGAAGCGATTTATTCATCAAAGAACTGTGCAAACATAATTTCTCAGATTATCATAAAGTGCCAACTATTAATAATATTAATAATATTCCCTTAACTTCATGTCACAACCCTTTACCAGTTCAACTAATGAATCGCGAACTGTGCAACTTTCCCCGAAAAATAATAATAAATAATTTCCCATCCATCCAATCTGAAGCCCACAGTTTTAAGAACACTCTACAGAACAAAAGTGATTAAAAAAACACAAAATGAATCAATTCCTAATTCTAAAGATAAAATACTAGCTGCTAATACATCAAATCCTTCCATTCCACCTATATCTCTTCACAATAAATATGCAACTCTATCTAGTCTACAAGAACCTCAAGATGAATCCCAAACCATTAGCATTCCACCAACAATTGCGATGAATACAATTGCTTACAATGTATATAGTTTTACAAACTTTCTATTTGATCACCAATATATAGTTAAAAATTACTTTTCAACGAAAACAGTCAAAAACTATGTAAAAATTGACTTCCAAAATATCTATGATTTCAGAAACTACATAACACTTTGTGACAATAATAACATTCAACATTTATCATACCATGACACTACTATTAAAACTTCACGGTCATACTTAAAAGTTATACCAATTTTCCATACCAATAAACTTTTAATGAACTGAGAACGTTAAACTTTCCCGTACAAAAAGTATATTGTTTGTAATATAAATAATGTGAACCAATAGAAATTTGTTCAATTGAACTAATTTGGTGTAATGCCTTACTTACTAACATCAAGAAATTATTCAAAATAAATTCCTAAGAAAAATACTAAAAACAGGTTGATTCATATCTAATAAACAAATATATAGAGAACGTCAAATTAACTCTACTAAAACTTTTATAATTAAACTCAATAGTAATAAATGAAACGAGTGGCTAAAGAGGGATATAATTGCACGAGTGGTATGTTCAAGAAAACGAGTGACGATAGGAGCGAGTTTTCTTATTGGCCGCGAGTGCAATTACACACATTTATCCACATTTTACGTGCAATATTTTTTCGTTTCCATTTATGAAATATTTAAATTATGAGAAATTCAAGCACATCTTTACCATTCGGGGCATACATTTGATGACATCGTATTGCTTCTGAAAAAAAATATATTTTAGTGAGTCTTGCATTGTGTTTGTTTTCAAGAAGTAATTCTATATTGGAGGTATGAACACATTGCGGATAAAATATTAGAAGACTCTGACAAAGTCGTGAAAACATTATTTCCCACGAAAAGTAAAGACAGCTATGAGAGAAAATACAACATGTTAAATATTGGGCAGTAAAAGAAAAACTAGTCACTTCTGACAGTTTTGATACAGCGTACTTTTTAAAACTGGTAAACGCAACTATCTTAATTCTTATAGTACAATGAGTTAAATTAGAAACTCTTACCCTTTCCATACTTGGTATCA